TGTGTGAGGTTTGGCTGGGAGGGTGAATTCACCGGAGGGATGGTAACCCGCCCTGTGTTTGTGTCTGTCTCTCCCCTGCAGGGCTCTCGCCTCGCCAGGACCCCGGCACCCCACCGCGCCATGGGACGCGTTCACACCTTCGTTTTAAAAAACATCTGAAGCCAGGGGTGGGGAGGGGGGGGAGAGAAAGTCAACGCGAAGCCCGCGAGTGGATGATGGATGGCAGAGATTTTGGGCTTCCTCGATCTGTCCACGTTCCCCCTCCTCTGCTGTCCGGGCTGGCTATGGAGAGTCACCGAGTCGGACCGGCCAGCGCAGCCGGGCGCATCGCCCCATCCGCCGGACACATGGCTGCGGGGCTGCCGGCCCCGCTGGCACCGGGCAAATACCTCGCCTCCGGCATCAACATCCATTCCCACCCGGGTAAGGCGCTTTGGCGGGGGGTGAGTCAGTGGCTGAGCGGACCAGAAAGCTCTTCGAGAGCCCCCAGCCCCTTGCAGAACCCGGGGAAGGCTGCGGGATGTTTTTTTTGAAGGGGGGACGACGAACGAAATAGATTCGAATGGGTTTCTCTTCCCCCAGATGTTACCTTTTCATGAGCAGGAGGAAGAAAACTGGCCCCTGGGGTGTGAAATCCAGACGGAGGGAGCTTTTAATCCTCCCCCCCCCTCGAAGAAACTGGCCTGAAACGCATCCCATTGCCTTTCCTAAACCTTCTCCCAAGTTTGCAATATTTTGCCGGGATCCCTTTTGAAATTTGTCCCCAGGTTTCTTAAACAACCCTCCAAAACGCCAAGTTTCCCCCCCCCGTCCTGGATTCCGGACAGACACTCTCCCCCTTATATATTTTTAACTTGATTAAACTCTCCCTCCCCAGCAATGTTGATCGAAATCTGGGACATCTCTCTTCTTCCTAGTCCGGATTTTTGTTTACACCGAAGGATTACCGTGTTTCTAGTTCAACTAGTCCCCCCACCCCCGATGTAATAATCCCTCATATTTTCTAGCATCGCATTTAAATCTCCTGCCGGAACAGAATTTTTTTAAAGGTTGAATCTTTATTTCAAGCGCTGCTTAATCGTTCTCTGGTTTTCTTGCCTGATCGCTGGTGATTTCAGTTGAGCAGGGACTTTGTTAAAAAACGCGCATTTCAGCTGACTGGCAAAAGAGGGGGAGGGAGGCAGGACGAGTTTCCCACCCCCAGTTTCTAAGCGAGGCAGTGAGTTGAACCCGCTTTGTTTTGCTAAAGTCTGTGTGTGTTAGCGTCCGAGAACTCCGCTTTCATTCCCCAGCGTCTCCGTGGCGTCCTGGGAAGTTCGTTAAGTTTGGCAGGATTTTTTTTTTTTTTTTGGAGAGGGGATTCAACAACCTAAAAAGTAAACGGTTTAATAGACACCATCTGGGTTTTAAAAATGAACGAAACTGGCTGGAAGGAAAAGAAAAGACGCAGGGTCGAGCTGGGGGGCTGCTTGTTTTTTTTCCTCAGTGCATCGACTATAAATACCCCCAATATTCCACATGGGTTAACTTTAGCAGCCTTATTTCTTTAATTGCACGGCGGTGGGGCGGGCTACAAAGAATGCATGCTAAGAATATGGAATCGAGCCTTCCTCCTCTCCCCCCCACTAGTAATTTATTGTCTGGATTTTGAGCTTCAGCGGCAGTCGGTTGCTTTGGGGGTGATTCAAGGCAGATGAAAAGTTTTAGTGTTCTCTGAAATTCCCTGCTTCCAGACCTCCCCTTATCCCTTCGAGGGAGAGGGTAGTGGAGGAAGGCAGTCAGAAATAACACACACACACCGCATTATGAATCTCTGGGGCTTGCTGCATGTCCAACTTTTGCACATTAACCGAGGATGCATTTTTGTGGTTGTGTGTGTGACTCCGTTAAAAGCTGTTTAGCTGGAAGTGTTTTTATATATATTAAAAAAAACCCTCTGTAGACAGAAAACTGTTGTGTGAAGGGTATTTTACTCTTTTAAAGAATCAATCCTTTACCAGCCTGATGGATGCAATGTCTAAAGTGCTTTGGGGCTATTTCTTATTAAGACATAAAAACTATTCTGTAGCGCCTGGCTTTTTGTTTAAATTCTTATAAGACAATATAGCTGGTTATCGGTCTGTACATGTGCCAGCCAGCTGCTTTTCTTTCACTGCATATTTAAAAAAAATATGTTGCTTTTCCAGATATTTAGTGTTGTGAAGCCTGTGTTTGTGGACAGAAGTGAAGTTGCTTTGCGGTCCAAGACTCAGATATTTCTGCAGTTCAATTTCTTTTTTTTTCTGGGCGTGGAAAGGTGACTCTGAGTTTACTTTAGGCGTTGGTAGGGGACAAGTTTTGCAATAATAAGCCTGCTTTTCTCCATGCCGCATGGAATGAATGACTCTGAAATTTGCAAACCTGATTGCCAACATCTGCAAAAAAGGAAGCAGCTCGAATCGAGGGAGAGATTTATTGCTTTTAGAATAGGTGGCAGTGCCAATTTTCCAGGTGCTAAAACAAGAGGTGTAAAATGAAGAGCAATAAAAGGAAGCACATGGGCAAACACCGCATGTCCCACCTCCTCTTGCTACAGAAAAATGTAATATCTCTAACACTGATCTCCCTGTGTGGACAAACAGGTTTGACCCTAGGATCAGCTTCTAGGGTGGGTTTTTTTTGTTTTATTTTGAAAGCCGTACAGGCATTTAATTCTTTGCTGTGGAAGATGTGTACAGTTACCTTTCCAAGTTATATTAATAAAGCTGCCACCGTTTTTGTTTTCGGGGCTTTTTTGTTTTTAGCCCATTGCTTACTTGGGCTATCTCATGAAATAATTGCTTTATGTTTATCCTCTGGTTCTGAGGTGCAAACAATGTCCTTTGAAAGGGGGTTCAGAGAAAACTTCCCTAGAGGCTGGTAAGCCAGTGCGGAAAACTGGTCCTTATTTAAAAGGAATTTAGTCTCCCTCCCTCCCTCCCCCCGCTAGAAATTCAGATTTTTGCATCTAAGCCACTGCTAAGATAACTCCCCATCAGTTCTACAATTTGTTTCTCTGCATTCCCTCACCAACTCTCTACCCTGCTATTAAAACAAAGCTCTCTCGCCCAGGTTGGCTACAGTAGGGAGTGGTAATTCCCAGACAGGCTAAATTGCATTAAAAAGATATGTACAATTAACAGTTTAAACTTCCATTATACCGTGGCAGTTGGTAGACAGGGATTTTTTACGGCTTTAACAATTTCATTTTAAATGACAATTGCTTCCTGCTATTTAGAGCCTTTTTTTTTAGGCTGTCATTTTGAGTTGGTAAAGGAGGGAGGGGTAGCATTTTAATAGAGCATCTTAAAACCAGTCATTGAATAATGCAGGACTAAAGGCAGGCACTGCTGAATCCCTCCCCAAGTCATCTTAAACTAAATTCATCCCTTTCAAAATAGCCTGAATTACTGTGCTTCTGGATCTAGTTCTTTTAGCCAATCGATTTCAAAATTCTTTGCCGTGAAGCCGTTCTTTGCTAGAAAACCCTGAGTTGAAGGAAGCCTTCGTTCTGGCTCACTTAAGAGATTCTTGGCTATGTATGTATATTTCATATGAACTTGCCAATAATCCTGATCTACTGAAGATTTTTTTTGTCTGGAGGAGGGGAGACAGTCTTTTGTTTGATAAAGGACACAGTATGGGTTTCTGTGGCTGTGGGAAAAGGGAGCACTTACGGGGGCAGTGAGAAGGTAGAACTGGTTTCTCTTCTACCTGGTCGTTCCTATGGTTTCTTATCAGATTTACCCGGCGTTGCTTGGGTCCATAATTTGGGAATTCCATCAAGTGTAATTTATTTCTCGTCCTTCTAAACTCTGATAATTCACTATATTTTAACAAAAAAGGGCTATAGTCAATTTGGTTTCCAATAACATTTTCGTCTCGTTTTCAAACCTTAAGCATTGATTTAGCTGTGCCAGAACAGAGCAGTACTCCATATTTCTCCGTGCTATCTCTTTTCTGTAAGTCTTATTGAGAAGCAATCCTATTCCAGGTTCATCCTAATTTTCTGGCGCATCTTGGTTCGGTCTCTTTCAACATTTTTATTTATGTCAATTTTGAGGACTGTACTTGCTTTGATGATTCTGTCTCTTTTTTTTTCTATTTGGTTTTATGAAACGCAATCCCATTTTCCTGGCACAACCAAACCCTTACACTGCTTTCAGTTATGATCAGAGCAAGCTGTATACCAAATTTGGTGGTCCATGCTCTTACTGTTTAGGAGGAGTTCTTGATCAGACAAACTCTCTAAAATATATAGTAGATAGGTAGGTTGTTCATGTCAGAGTTGGATGGCAGGGGATAGGATGTACATGGCAGCCAGGAGGTAGCATGGAGCCTTCACAAAGGTCCTACTAAATGTCCATAAAAAGAGTTAAGAGGGTGATGTTCTGCAATGGAATGTCATCCAGAGCAGCAGAGGTGTTTGGCAACAAATGGCAGGCTCCTTTTAATAAAAGAGAAGGTAATTGTAATCAGTGGTACCAGCCTGCAGAGTCCAATAATAGGCTAGCCTTTCATCTCTGGAGACCTGAGTTCAAAATCTGGTGGATTATTGGTTTTTGCTGTAGGTCACAAATGATTAGGAGTTCAGTGGGCTCATCTGAATCCATTCAGTAATCTTATTTCCAGCACAAAATCGAGAGTTAGTGTGTTCCTATTGGCAATCTCAGCATAGGAAAGGCCTGAGACTGAGTGGCATGGGTAGATTCAGGACGTTGTGGATGTCAAGGAGCAGAGATGCGTGAGAGAAATTTGCCCAGCATCTGACTATACCAATATGTAGCAAACTCCCTGAAAAACAAACACCTCCAATGCTGTTCCCCCAGTGTCAAGATGATATTTTTCTCTATGTGTGGGTGTGTGTGTTTGTGCATGCGAGAGAGAGAGAGAAATGATCTGGTGAGTGCTCTTTTTAGGTATTACTACCCAACAAAGTTGGATTCACTAAGTCTTCCTTAATCCACAAGAAGGGACTTAAATATAATAGCAAGACAATATTAAATAAAACAGGGAAGTCCACCGGCCAAAGAAGAAGGTACAGATTGAGGGAAGCAATGCTTTTATAGTTCCGCCTTAAGTATTTGTCTCCAGATAGAGGAAATTTGGGAGTTTTAAAGTGGATTGGAAACTATGTATGTCCTTGCAGTGACAGGCAGACAATCTGTTGCATGCATTAACTGAGTATATGACTTAGGCCTGCATACAATTTATAATTTTTGTCACATAGCTACATTAGTTAGGAGTGTTTAGAAAAAAAATCACATCTCATCTGACAGCGGTGCCAGCAAAAGCCCCTGTAACTGCAGTTTTACTGGCAAAAGTGCAGTTTTGCTGAGATATGCTGCATCCACATGAGGAGTGCTTTGCTGGCATAGCATCTGGTATAGCTGTACTGGCCAAAT